AAAGCCTTGGAAGTAGAAGGGTCTTGAAGCAACCAGTGAAGTCAGTGGCCGTGGAATCCTTGGCGAAAGGTTGCCTTTATTTCACCCTTCTCGTACTTTGTTTTCGACTCTTGCTATTTCCCGCTTCTCTTTTTCATTCTCTATTATATCAATCCGCCGAGGCGCTTGTTTTTTCGTTGCAGTATACATGGTGATTTTTTTTTTTCGTTTTGCAACACATAGTGCCAAACATATTTTGAAATTGAAAGCTGGTTAATTTTATTTTAAATAAATAATATACCGAATAGAAGTCTACGGTTAAATGCAAAAATAAAATTTGCTCTCGGAGTTCAGCTTAACTACAACGTACGCGGTATACTCATGCCGGTCGGTATTTATCAAGAACGAACAAAAGTATTCGCGAATTTGTATTTCCGAGAAAAACGGGCGACCCGTCGCCACGGCTAATACGTCCGACGCATATGAAGTATGCACTTGACAGTTCCTGCCTCTCTTTCTCGTAAAAATGCGAGAACCGTAACGAGGGGCGAGAGCCGATGATCGAGATCGGGACTGCGTGATTTTCGTTCATCGAACAATTCGGATTTATCTACATAATGCATGGTTTGTGTCCACGGGTTCTCAGGGGGCGGCGCAGGTGTAACGAAGATGCAGATCGCTTCGTGCGAAAGAACGTGATATTCGTAGCACGCCTTGGCCTCCATTATCGTTGCCCGAACACGTTTTTCATGAGGCGATCGCGGCGATCTCCCGCCTTTCACACCTTTCTGGCATGTCCCTCGCCGCGGGTCGCTCAAACGCACGCAAAAAAGAAACGTGGACGTTTAAGATACCCGAGGTGAATCGGTGCATCACGCGAAAATCAATAAAAACGACGCCGTGGAATTTCATCTTAATATCGCTCCCCACCACCCATGAATTACGTCGCACGGTGGACCGTACAGTTTTAACATTTAATTATGCAATAGTTGGCCTGAAGTTGTAACGGCAGTTTCTGAGAGTTATGGCAATATAAGTCATAGAGCAGCAATGAATTTTGATGTACGAGGTTTTTCGGCAAAAACAGAAATTCTCACATGAACATATGGCGGGGTGGAGTTGGTATCTGAAGTGATATCTCAGGGAAACGTAAGTGTGAAACGTGGCGTAGGTTGATGTTAAACTTGATTTCGGCTTCACGAAAGTTTGCTCGAGTTTGCTACTTCTACCAGAAGTAATTCATAACTTTTACCACGGCCCAGTTCAATAACGTCTGTTCCGCTAGCGGGCGGTTCATACTGATAATTCATTTTAAAATAGCTCATAACTAAAAACCAAAGGAATACAGCGTCCGAGAACATTTGGCGCTAAATCAGGAAACTTACAAACGCAAAAGACGAGAATCTCGTAAAATTGCATTAGGGCAGTCATTTTCCTCCTCTGATTGCGGCTGGGGGGGGGGGGGGGGAGGGGGGAGCGGGGGGTTCTGGGAAATTGCACGGAGTAATGGGATATTCAGGAACGTTCCCGGCTCGACATACCTGCTCCTCGGAAAGTTAGAAAACTTGGCCCGTCCGGTAATTCCGGGAATCCGCGCCGATTCGCCGTTTCTCTCGTCCATTTCTTTTTTTTTCCCCGAAGATCGTTCCGGAATGAAGAGAGAAAAATCGCGGAAGCGACGCGAGATACACGCGAGATAGACGCCGCGGCGTATGAGCGGATCTGAAAATACGAGACGCAGAATTTTCCGTCTCTTCCGACGAAAGAACGGGTGGTTCGATAGATCGTAATAACTATCCTTTATACCCACCATGAAACGCCGTCCACTTCGCGTAAACACCGGCATAAATTTCGGAACGGCCCTTCCCCCGGTTTCCTCGCGTTACATCCCGACCATCTCGCACCACCGTTAACTGTTACGGAACCATCGAGTGTTTCTCACCCTCTACTTAGCCAACCCGCTCGTTTCTTTCGGGCGAAACAAACGAACGGGCGGTTTTCCATTTCCCCGATCGATTTTGCCGATAATGGCGACAATAGTGAAAATAGTGAGAGCCATTAGTCCGGTGATTAATGACGTGCTTATGATCGAACGGGAGCTCCGCGTTTTCGCGTCCCGGTACTCGTTTCCTCCGCCACGCCGGGAGAGATTTTAGGAATCCGGGAATTTCTTTCACACCATCGGGAAGAGAGCATTATTGTGATTCTGCGAAAATCGCAGTAATAAGAGACACGGGACCATTATTCACGCGGATGTCTTAGCAGGCGGGTGATTTGCGAGCACAATAGACGATGGGAGGCGCGGATGCTGCAAATGTCGAGATTATTTGTTAAATGATACGGTAAGAAGAGAAGTAGTGCCGAGGACTAAATCGCTGCTCATATCGAAATGCATGTAATTTACCATAAACTTTCGAACGATATTTTACATCGTAAACATATCTTTTAATATATTCTGGTATAGTTGAGTTTTGAGCATAACGGCCGAGAGAAATTTCAACTTTTTTTGGCAAATTCTTTTCGAGGAATAAATCGAGAAATGTATTTTGTATTGCCGAAGAGGACGAAGTATATTTTCTTTGGCATTCGCGCGTCGTGTATCGATCGTCGCAACAGCCGTCATTAAAACTCGATCACGTATATAAAGACGGGAATTAAACTAGTTATCAAAGCAAGCGGGAGGGCGTGCAATTAAGATGTCCGAATTGGAGTCCACTCTCAGACCGGCGCGGTATAATCGATTGCCTTTGTGGCACCTGTCGAACGACCGGGTAAAAGCCGATTTTCAGATTCCATTGGGAGACGCGGAGAGAGCGCTGGTGGCCGGGAAGACGAAGAGGCGATGTGATTGACAGGCTTCATGGTTTATTCGACAAGTCGGAGAGTGCACACAGAGAAGCCTATAACATCGTATCCAGCTTGCGCTTTAGGTTAACAGCTTGGGTGTCCGACGATGTACCATGATGCATGACGCGGTGTCGAGTTCCAATTCGCCGGGCATCCATGAAAGCAGCCTCTGTGCCCAATGTAAAATATCGGCGATTCGGGATGAAACGAAGCACGCGCGTCGGGCTTGTGTGCATATGGTGGGTAGATGAGGACCGTCGATTGCGCCTCTTTGAACGATTACTTTTAACTCGGTGTGTAAGCAAACGGTTTTACGGCTAAGTAACACGTGTGCGTATTAAGTATGAAAAATATTAACGTCGATAGAAAAAAATATGAAGAAGGCTCTTTTTATATGGACTATTCATGTCCTGAGTGAAAACTGCCGACTGATGTCTCGAGTCGTGGCAAAAGTCGTGTAACAGATACAGAAAAAAAGAATTTATCTTTGGAATTGAAAGTTAAGTGTGTATTGTATTTTATATAATATCAAGAGGTATTTTCAGCGAGATATTAATTCGCTGGTTTCCGATCAACGACCCGAGAATCGACTGCGTGTCACCACAGCTGAAATCGATCAGACTAGCCATGTTCTCTAAATAATGTTTGCGCTTTCGTGATTGTCCAAATACGCTGTAGTGAATGTAATGTCCATTTATTTTATTGCTAACGGTAACGAAACATTTATTTGCGAAACTGTTTTAGATCACGTTGCATTAATTAAAATATATAAATTTATATATAAATATATAAATTATCAAGGTTGCGAAATATTAGGCAAATAGCGATATCAATTTCAGATATCGATGTAATTAGAACGCATAAATGTTATTAAATATTGTTTATTATGTCGATTATTGTCGCATATCGATTTTCCGTGAGTATCCTCGTATGGAATAATAAAATCTAATGTATAATCACAAATTAATATATAAAATTTACTAAAATATGAAAATAGCTATTAACATAACAATACCCCTAAATATCATTTAATGCGGTAATTAACCATATTTTCATTCACCGATAATAATTAATAAAATATTGAATTAATAAAAGATTTGTGAAAACGTCGCTGTCATCAATTTATCTATTTTAATATGATTTCTATGTAATTATATCACAATGTTAAATGAAATTGTTCCGTAATTAATATTTTTTTACATATTTTACATATTATTACAATTTGAAACGAGAAATTAATATTTGAGTTAACAGTTAGATCTGCATTGTATGTAATAAGAAAATAACGATATGGGACACGTATATAGGAACATTCTTGAACATTCAAAGCGGATTTAGGAAGGGTACCTTCGTAGATACCTACTTGATGAGGATTAGGAAGTGATTTGCAGGCGATTGCCGATAGCGATGGAAACACGAAAGCCGGAATTTATCGTGATTGGAGCGAGTTCTCGTAGAGAGAGTCATGAAGCTTCGAGGGCCGTTATCTCGTGCATGCGCTAGATACGCACGAACTATCAGTTTTCGTGAACACACTCTATGATGTAAGTACGTGCTCTCATTCTTGGAGGACGTATTTATCGTTATGTGCAATACCTTCTTTCAACAAGTACACGCGAGTTCTATAGACTTTCAAGATCTATAGATCCGGAGGGGAAAAAATTCGAAATCCTCGAGATACGAATAGCAAAATGTAATCAATTTCGATGAGATTCGTTCGTGACACATTTAATTAGGAATCATCATTTTTTTTTTTTTACATTCCGCGTTCGTTCTCTCTCGGTGAAATTTATATTCCGAGAGCAATTCAATTTCTTTCGCAAGAATTTCCTTTTCTGTCGCAAAGTCTCATTAAATTCTTAAGAGTGTAACGACCTTGACATTCCGTTTCATCATCGGACTTTCGTCGCGTCGCGTCGCGTTCGCGTCGCGTCCTGTCGAAAATTTACGTTCACGCATTCGTACCTGGACCGCGCGGTGCGATTATGGCAACTCATTAGCTGCGCCTGTAAATCATCGTGGTCCCTGCGACGGGGACGGGAGATGCGCGCTGAATGTAGAAGTTCGGAGCGAAATGCGCGCGAGCGAGCGAGAGGTGGAGGGACAAAGCCGGGATCCAGAGCGGGATGTGAACGGCGCGAGCGTGCCCGAAGACGACCGAGCACGAGCGGAGGGAGCCGACGCGACTCGCGAGGGTTCTTCGCGATGTTCAATGGTTTCAGTACCGAGCCGCCGCGGGTCAGGACTCGATGTGGCTTCACCGCAGGGAAGGTTTGTTACCGTACGCTTGCACGACGTTGCGCGTCGCGGACGAGTGATCCATGAATCAAAATCGAAACAAAAGCGCACGGTGTCATCGCCCACGGGTCATTCGGTCGACCGTCCCCGCAACCCGCCACTCCGCAAGTGCCGATCAATGATCCGGAAGTTACCATCCGCGGGAAACGCGGCGGCACGATCGCGCTTTCCCGGCCTTTAGGCACGGGACGTCGCTGAAGTTTCACGCGAGTGGATTTCGCGATTTTTCGTTACGTCTTTTCCTTATTTTTCTTTTCCTTTTTTTTTTTAACGTCCGCTTCTGACAATCTCCATGTTCCAGGGCGCGTGATCGCCTCGCCAGTGCGCGCATAATGCACATGCGAGGTCGAGGGGTAAACGCGAAAGAATCGAAGTCCTCGATCGGACGCACGTTGTGCCGCTCCGAGTAAATGTTATAGTCCGGATGCCTGTATAGCCTGTATGTTCGATTGATGCAGCAACGTGCGTTATGGTTACATCTGTTTGTCTCGCACTTTATTACGCACTTCCATTACGCACCCTCGGTAAGCTTGCCTGTCATTTTTGTTCGCGACTCATCGTTCGATCGATTAACCGTTGCTCGATATCGTGTAGAAACGAGATATAGCAGCAGAAAGTACAATCGGTGGTGCGGCGAAAAGCTGATGTTGATATTTGTTCCGCGATCAATAAGCATTCAGCTCAAATTTCTGACATTCGCATAATCTCAATTCTTTCTGGCAAACAAACAAGTCCGTTCCACTTTACGATGCTCAATGCGCAATGCTTGGAAGAAACTGGAACGATTTGACTTCGAGGCGAGATAATTTTTACGAGTGTCTCGAAATTTGCCTTCGCACTGAATCCTCTCATTTCCGAATGATATCACATGCATTCTCGATCGCGAAGGAAGCAAACCGTGCGAGGTTTCCGAAAATTCGCCGTGCTCGCGGCTCAGTTGCGATCGGACGTATATCGCGCTGATAGTTTCGACTGTCGGAATATCGAGAGACACATCGAATTCACTTTGCAAGTTTAGTTTGCGAAAGGCCCGGCGGATATATCTCGTTCCATTCCGCGAAGATTTATCGTGCGATCGAACGCATTAGCGATAGGGATTGGCGCGACAGGCGGCGGAAACAGAGGCACTCGGAATCCGGAGAGGATCCGGAGAGGATCCGGAGAGGATCGCCTCCGAGAAGAAGCGCCGCTCTGTGTTCCACGACGATAAAACTACAATCGCCACCCCGGAGCCTGTCAGCAGAGGCTTCGCTCCGGATCTGTTTATCCGGCAAATCCAGTGATCATCCGCTCGCCCAACACGCCACATGGAATTCTGCAACGGCGAAAAATTTACCTGACAAAACGCATCGGTCGTGGAATGAAAAAAAAAAGAACGATAACAAATGACGTAAATACAGCCCCGGATAAAGTTTCAACTACCTCCGTGTTTTGAAAAATTACGTCTGCATCGACCGGAAAATCTGACGGAGAGATCGATCGCGCGCTTAAATCGTCGTCGGGAGAATTTCTCCAACCCGAGAGGAGGATTTCCGCACGACGAACGAAGATCGTCGAATGAGATGAGAATACCATAGCGGCGGTAGCGTGGATCGTCGTTAGAGGTCCGGTGTTTCGTTCTTGAGAGACTCGAAAGACAAATAGCTGGCGTCTCATTAAATGACGACGGGTAGGTGAGCGACAAGACAGATAGGGGACGGCTGCGCGGAGTGTCGGTTCACAGCAACGGCTGCGGCAGCAACAACGACGATAAAGAACAGTGGACGATGTGGATAGCGGCGCAATGCAGCAGCAGCAACAGCAGCAGCGGCGGCAGAAGCAACAGCAGCAACGACAACGGCATCAACGACGAGAACGGCAGCAGCGTCGGGGATTGCAATTAGTGCCGGCTCGCAACGGCCGCGAGACAACGTAACGACTGAAGTGAGAGGGGGGGGTGGCCGCAGGGGCTGCCAGCCGTTAGGGGGTCGAGGGTGTGTGCAGTGCGCGTGAAAGGGAGACAAAATGTGGTGGAGGTGGTGGAGTGTCGTGACGACGACGACGACGACGGTGCTGGTCTTGGTAGCCGCTACGGCGTACTCGCCGCCTGTGGAACTATCCGATCTGGATAAGCCAAGTGAGTAATGCGCCCCGTTACGTCACTAGTTATGCCTGATTTACAACTGGGTTTAACCCTTTCGATACGGCGGAGTCGGAACACAAGGTGCTTACAACCGACAAATGCGCCGGCTCGCCTGGTGTGTCAATAACGGACGTAGAAAATTTGGTAGAAACGTTAGTTTTCATTACGATATCGCGCACGGTACCTTATCGATTTTGTAAGAAATAAAATCTTTCGTAAGAATTAAAATTAAAAAAAAAAATCTTCAAACAAAGAGCGGAAAGTTCTTTTGTTTAAAATATTACGCTACTTGAAACTTTTCGAAGGGCGCTCCTAGGGATCCGCTTCCGCAATGAAAGTGTTAAGATATTCCTGATGTCGCGCCGCATAGCATTTCGCGGGTCGAAGGTCGTGACGCGACGAATTAAATCAAATCTCCACGGTCCCTCGTCACGAGGCTGTTGGGAACTTTAAACAGAGGATTATTATCGTCGACCTCATCCGAGGAAGTTTCGCTCGACCGCGTTCCGGCATGCTTCGCCCTCGAGAACGCCGACTACACGAAACTCGAGTACTCGAGTAGTCGATAAAGGGAGATATAAATGGAAAGGTGCTTCTGAATATCATTAGCGACACGTTCTCCGATGTCTCATAATTAATTGGCCACTTCGCACTCATCGGAATTGTCCTTGAAACGTCACGATTGCCGCGTGTGCATCGTGCCGAGGACAGGTACCGAGGAGTTGTGTACGAGTATTGAAGAATTAAAATAATATACCGTACGTATTTTATCGCGGTGGAATCTTCAATGTAAATCATAATTGTAGGAATTTTAATCCAATCGGTACGCGACCGCGCGAGGTCGATGCATATCATTAGCGATAGGAATTCCGTGATTAAAATCTCTCGCGCTATTACGTGGTCGTAATTATGTTCGTCAAACGACACATACGTGATTTCAAAGATAATGGTGGAACAAAGAGAAATATAAATTCTAGAGAGGAAGAGCAGTTTCAAATACAAATATATCGAATCTCTAAGAATCGTCAATAATATTCAAGTTTTAAATAATTAGACAGTTAGACAGTATTTATTTATCTATCACTAATTATAAATAATATCTTTCTTTTTTTTTTTAAATAAAGTTACAAGATACATTCATTGTACATCAAAACTATCATTAATATAAGCAATGAAATTTAAGTTTTTATAAATTACTCAAGCGATAAACAACTCAAGCAATGAACTCTTAAATGTCAAAGATCTCTGAAGCAGGAAATTAGTCTTAAAGTTGCCTAACTGTCCTCGGATGATGAGCGATGCTATAATAATCTAATGTCTGACATAACCAAACTAAAAATATGATCACATTTTTTCGCATTATTGATTACCTGGCGCATTTAGAGTAGCCAGTAAAGTAGATAGTAGGAAACTTTGGCCGATCGATTATTAGAAAACTTTTGCCATCATGACTATTTCGTTTATGCGCGCGTCTTATTATATACTTGGCGCTTTGTAGATAATATGCGCCAGCTAAAATTAATTTAACACCTTGCTGGATTAATGATAAAGAAAATTGTAAGACGAAGGTATCCAATCGATGTAGACACAGCACGTAGAGAAGGCTTAGAGAAGGGAATGACGGCTAAACTAGTTTAATTAAACCACGGCGTTAAGTCCCTCTTAAATTTATAGCCGCGCGATAAAAAAGAATGTTCCACAGTGAGGACGTGAAGAGAAAAAAATTGGAGTTTCAATAGCGTAGTACGGCTTCGTTCAGCCGCGAGGACGAAAATAATGTGACGCCAATGTTACACTCTCGCGAAATTCCTTTAAGAAAATTTTTGATCTATTGCACTATTTATCTTGATTAAAATTTATAAATACAAATACAATATGCCAGTTGGATATTTTTCTTATTTAATTCTAATATATTATAACTACCTACACGTGAATTATATGTGATTTTTTATTGTATCAGTGATTTTTTTATTGTATCAGTGATTGCTGATGTTTATATCATTCAACAACAATTCAAGACAACAAATTTCTTTTGATTATTTTTTTTAATTTTAACTTAGTGATGCATATCAATTCTTGGTCTATATTTGTCCTGAAAGCATAATGTAAGCATGTAATAGGAATATGTGGGAATATTCAGATCATCACACTGATGACATATTGGATGGCCAGAGGCACTAATATTATCCGTAATTGACAATCACTCTATTCTCTATAATTATAGGAACTACTAATGTGATAATAGATATCTATGATTAATATACGTTATCTATATACATATACGTTTCGATATCTATATACATATACGTTTCGATATCTGTATACATATACGTTTCTAATTTTAAAATTATATTAATTGTAATGATATGATTCCTATAGGAGATAAATATTTTTGGGCGAAAATTGTCGTTTCTCAATATTAAATTACATTTAGTAGAGAAAGGAATATAGGACAGAAAATCGGCTCTTAGACTCTAGAAGGAAGCAAGTAATCTTCGGTTATTTCGTAGAGAATTGCAATCGCGCATGCAATTCATGCACACTGAAAGACGGGTAATAGAATCGATAGCACCAAGCTGGTACCTGATAATTCGTTAGGCAAATTTTGCATGGTGTTTCATCCGCCGTTCTACTAAAAGAAATTCCAGAATGCTTTCAGCATCGGGTAAAATATATATATATATTGATGTCGGCAGCAAATTTTCTTGCGAAACATGAGCAAGCTCTTGCAACTGCCACTAATTCAAAGGCGGTTAATTACGATCGAAATTACTCGGCTTCGTTATACAATTACTTCACAGCGAAACGTTAGAGTATGTTTTCATAAGGTTTGTCTGACTTCTATTTCAACAGGTGCTAGCGGCGAAAGACAACCGACGTGTACGCAATACACGCGTAACTAACGCGTCGCGTTAATTAACGATGCTTTCATGTTTATTCACGTAAGCATAAGACCAAATCCATCCATTTTGTCCTGTTCCGGTATTGCAGAATAATAGCGTTCGATTTCACCGTAATGAGATTAATCTCATCGCGTCCAATACAATGTTAAAAAATGGTCGGTAAATGCCAGTGATGAGAGAGGTGTTTATTTTTATAGAGATCTGTTTTTAATACCTGGTATTGTGCGCAGCGTGCACTTTCAGTAAATAACTGAAAATCGCAACAACCGGAAAGAACAACTTTAATGTGCACATCATCGAGAAATGTACTTTGTACTATAAAAAGAGGATCTCTTTACGCTATGTTTTATAAACATACTGCATCGTGAAATGATAAACCAAAGTTTACCATGAGAGAATCTAACATTTTAAGAGCCTGCATAACGATTTTCACCGGGTCACAATATATGAAAAATATGTTATGGAACATATTCCCTTAAAAAAAAAACATACTTTTTTCATATAAACAAAATTTTTAAAAAATTCCCGATAGAAATAGCTTAGCCCAGAGTGCAAGTTTCAATAATCTTTTCTAAATAATTTTTCCTCTAGCTATATGCTATACAATGATAATTCTTATATATTTCTTTTATTTGAAACATATCTCGAAAGAGAGATAACAGTGTCTTTCTATTTGTTTTCATTTGGAGAGACTATTAATTTAGTTTCACTCTTAGAGAGTCGGTATATATACTCGTTAATGCAGACTCTGAATTTCTCCCGTCTCTAGCAGCAAGAACACTTTCCAACGACAGCTTTCGAAATCACGGCTACGGCATCGTGGTAATTAATTTTTTTGCCGGCAAAGCCGAAGCGGGGGCAACGACGGAATGACCACGAAATCGACCTAATGGGCGGCCATTTGTCATTCTCCATAGGGAAGGTGGCACTGCGGAAGGGGTGAAAAGGGCCCCTTGCACACCGTCGGCCAAGACGATAATTTGCACGCGATTTCATCCGCCGTACACACCTTCCGCGTCGGTGTATGACTTAATGGAAACACGGCTCGTTTCGGAATTTAGAAATACCAGAAGCTCGTAAAGGCTCGCAAACGCGACAGTCATTTCTGCACTTACGTCGTATGCCATTTTATATGGCGATACGGGGCGTAATTACGGGAATCGTAGGAACGATTATTAGCATAATGACAAAGGTGATATTATTATACTTTCGTCGTCGTTAAAAAATAGCAGATCTCCCCGCCACCATATATTCTCGCGTAATAACCTTATCGAAATAATGGTCGAGGTAAGGTAAAAGCAACATTATCGCGAATCTAAAACAAGACGGAGACGATCAAGCGACATAACATATGTGTTTCATATTCGCGACACGCGAATATTCAAGATTATCTCATATCTAATTCTGGGAAGATTAATTGGAATTGGCAGTGCACTTGTTATTCTTAAGCGATCTCCGTATGCTAAATAACATTACGTGCGCATAGAAACTTAGAAACCAAACTGAGTTATTATGCTATTTTCGTTAGTAAAAAGTATGTGAGAATGATTAACAAATAGCGACCAGATGGCGAAACTCATTTTCATCTATCGAATATCCTCTTTCCTTGAAATCGATGGAGATATACGGAATATGTTTGACGTTTATATAATAAATAATGTTAAGGTTTACTTGAAGAGGATAATTACAGTATTCCAAAGAATGTGGATAAGTGGGAGAAATTATTGCGGTATCATCTTTAACAGGAATGCGGAATGATTATTATCTGCACGCGATCACGGCGTATCGCCGTATTCGTTGGATACAATTGCGATTAAAGTTTAGCACGGCATACTTCCTTGTTGAGACTCTCTTATTTAAAGTGTACTCTTTTCTCGGTACATTCATCGGTCATTAAGACATTTCTACCTTCCGTTTAACTATGCGCCAAGAGCAGTAATGTCAGTGGCGGCGCCGTGTGAGGGAGAGAGAGTAGATTTATTGCACGACGAATCTGTCTACGCGAGTACGCTCGCACCGTTATTATAGAATGATTTGTAGAATATGGAAAAACGCGACGCACGCTCATCATGATAATTGCATATTGCAGAA